TAAAAAAAAAAAAAAAAAAAACGAGAAATAATTCAACAGATAACTCGATTACTTAGAGAAATAAAAACGATTTTATCTGTCTCATGTACAGTAGTATACAATTATCCAAACGGTTATGTTTAGTGTCTCGAGAGATTTGTAGGAAATTAATAAATGCGTACGTAATCTCTTCTTAAGTGATTTAAATGGACAAAATACTACGATTGTTTGGAATGTCTTTGCGCCAGTTGTAGCACGCGTTTACACTAGAAATGTGTAATTTATGTGCAATCTCTCAATGAATGATATATATTGTCAATTATAATATTATTCGCTCAATCGAAGATCTTTTCCAAAATGCGAGAGAATAATGTGATGTGATTCTCATTCAATTTTTCACAACCCAAAACAAGTGTCTTGAAAACTCTTACTTATAGTAGCTTCCCATCGCTCGCAGAAATGCATACGCGTCTACACAATAGGAATACGTTATTTCATAATATTTATACTAATTTATACAATAAATTGCGCAACGAGAAGTCAAACGTTGTGACAATATATATGAATTGTTACGCGCATTGTACGTTTTCAGTGGGTGTATGAAATAATACGTGCCGAGAGAAACATGTACGACGTAAATCACTGTTCAACAATTATAATTTTTATTTTTAATTTTTTTTTCTGAAGCACCGTTCTCAATTACACGACAACTCTACATCGTGCACGCAATTAACTCCGTTATTACGGTATCGTTTACAGTCACGCACAGGATTTTCAGATTTTAAAATCTTTAGACAGTAATAAGATCACGATACGCAGCGATTTGTATGTAAACGCAAATCACTCTTTCCGATCATTAGCTATATAATCGAGAAACGATAAATTTTTTACATTTAAATGATATCAACAGACAAATTAACACTAAAACCTCGTTTGTGCCGTAAAGTAAGTAATAAAAAATATTTATCTGCGAGTTTAATTGCAGAGTATTGGAATAAAATTTTGTGTTGAAAATTTTTTTATGATAAAAAACTGATTAACGTAGTAAATACATATGTATCGCGCCGATTACTCACATGTACTTGGATACTGATCGAGAAAAAAGAGTTTCAAGAGAGCATTAATTACCAAAACACACAAGATTGCAACAATTTGTCTCACGTTATTTCCAAAAATGACATTGAAAATAATTATCTTGTTAAAAGTCGCGTCTACGACCATCGTCTGTGTGTATGTGTGTGTGTGGTGTGCGCGCGCGCGCGCGCGTATGTATATGTGTGTACGTGATTCGTAATTATCAGATAATATTACTGTTATAAGATGAAATAATTAAAGCTACTATAAGTAAAGCTAAAACATAGTAATGAAATGCACTACTTTTATAAGTGATTTAACGATAGCAAATTTTACAAATACAGCTATATTTACGATACAATATAATAATGAAATTTTTAATGTAATATGACGAGAAAGGTTAATCTTCGACCATTACACTATGTTACACTTGAACGCCGTTTTTATGTTTCTAATATATATTTATATTACAAGTAGCTGTTTGAAAGAGAGATAGATAAAGTAAAAGACATTATAAGTTTGACATATTTTATGATACAAATCTCGGACTTGTTATATAAACTGCCCAATTGATAAAAGTTAACAATAATAAAAAAAAAAGAAATAAATTAAACTTGTACTACACAAATGTCTCTATAATAGACGTCATTATTGTAATTGTATAAATTTGTATACTATATACGCATGATCAAAACACACTTTCAGATAATGTCGTTTTCCAAGTTATTAAGTCGAATGTGTTCGAAACAAGTCAATAATCACACCAAATATTCATGTCAAATAATTGTAACAATAATAGGAACAAAATAATGCGTTATCTTGTCGGCTATAATGAAGGTAGTTATGAAAAAAGAAAAAAAAAAAACAATATTCTTAAAGAATAATGTTGATTTGCTATCGCAGCCGTCTTTCTATATTATTATTATTATTATTGTTAGGCAAATTTGTAAGTTTGCATATTATTGTTTTTTGAAACAAGAGCAATATAAAAACATGCTCAAGTTTTAAGATTTATTGTTTACGTACTGTTTGGAGATACATATTATATGGGACTTATGTAAATAGAGGGTTGTTAGATTTCTCCAACTTATTGTTAGATAGTCTTCCAGATGATTTTTGTTCACGAAGAGTTGCAGTTTCTGGGATTACGATTGATCGCGCTTAAAAATAATATCTCGCGATCACAAAACCCGAATAGCAAAAAACGTAATATATATATACATATATTTACATATAATTACTGACTGCATTTTTGTATTATATATATTGTGTAATTTGTTACGTAGAATAAACATGGTTACTGCAACATTAAAAAAAAAAACACTTGTGATTTTTATTCATTTTTCAATTGTTTCGTTTTGCTCATCTCAGCGTAAAATGAATGACGTTAGTTCTTGTAAGTTTTAGAATCGCCGATGCCATTCATATATTTCTATATTATATATATATATAATTTATAACATACATATATACAACTTATATGTAAAACGATGCGTAATATAATGGTTTTTTTCGTGCCTCACATTAAGTTTTGGGCTAGATCGCATTCAAACTTTTCCGAAAAAAGTCAATTAACGATATTTTGATTGCTTTGTTTAACTTTAAAACAATCTAAAACATACACAAATATTTTTGACCTGTACCTGTTAAGAAACATAAAGAATTCGAAAGCCTAGAGAGACGAAAAGTAGGTACTTTGTGCATATATGTGTACTAATACTGTAAACTCTCTGACATAAATACCACACTGCTGTCTGACAGCAGCATAACAGAAATCATACCTCTCATCAGAAGTGCCTCTGCCCATTCAGAAGTTTTCTTTCTTTGTGAACAAAAAATGGAGGCATTCGACCTATAAAGTTTCGACGAAAGTCGGTTAGGTCAGTACTAACATTCAATGTAATTGTTTGTTTTTAAGCTCTTTTTTCGAATTGCGTTCTACTTGCAATTGGAACAAATGTTGCCTCGGGACTCGCACCTGTTCTTTTTACCATTTTTTTTTTTATTGTTTCGTAATTCTCCAGGTTAAGGAATCATCTCTTCAACAGATGTTAATTAATTTATTTAATTTAAAACAATATAATGAATGTATATATATACATATATATACATAATATTGTACGTGTTTGTTGCAACGCGCGATACGGTAATTACTTTCACGCTCACTTACATAAATCAGAAATCTCTGATTTATTTACTACAAATTTGTTTTTTTTTTAACCGGATGAATCACAAATAGAAGATTACTGCCGCGTGTGAGCGACAGACATCATGTTCCGCTTTTTTAGTTTTGCATAAGCTTTTTTGTAACAATTTCTTCTAAGTGTTACATAAGTGAGCACAAAAATAATTACCGTATCTCGCGTGTTGCAACAAATACGTACAATATTACATATAAAGCGACAGACATCATGTTCCGTTTTTTTTTTTGCACTTTATGGTCTTGTTAGTAAAACAAAGATCACAAATTTGTGAAATCAACATTGATTATATTGGTTGTATAACACAATGGTTGTATTATTAGACTGTTTTTGTTTTATACGCCTTTCGATAAAAATCACTGAACAAATAAATAAATATGATTACGTGTGTTACAAAAAAGTATGTCAAAACCTTCGGCATTCGGCAGTCTATGACTAGAGTGAATAAGAGATAGCACAACATTATTCCGAACTGGATCTGAAATAACACAACTGGTATCAATAAACTTGCTTAATTAGCACGCACACAGTTTTGCAAAATTTTTTTAACTGAATATTTTTGATAGATTTATAAAGCAAGAATTGACACGTTTAAAATAATTAAATTAATCGATCAATTTCGAATAACAATTACCAGTTGAATCCAGGTCATGTATTTCTTCCACCACAAATATTTTCTGTATTTGGAGCCGAGCGCCGCAATCAAATAATAACTGTACATAACAATGTGAACTATGGAATTCAACAATCCGACTACAACACCTTGTTCGCCAGGCAGCAATTTCAAGTAACACCACGAGAAGACGGCCGTTATAGTATGATGATAAACGTGAAGAAACGTCACCTGATTCTGTTTCTTTCTCAAAACAAAAAATACCTGTAAAAATTGAACAAAATGCATAAAAAAAACAAATAAAAACAAAAAGCAACATCTGTTTAGTTTATGTGTAATTTTATACTTTATAAAAAGCAATAATTTTTTCTTGTGACACATCCGAAAAAAAAAGTTTAAAGAATATGTAATTGTCCACTTAAGTGATTTGTCATTAATAATAATAGGTATTCGGATTAGTATGGGTAATTGACAAATGCTTTTCCGATCATCGAGTTAGCAAATCGCTTTGTTCATATTTCAAAATAGGAACACGGTTACGATAGCTTTTGTAGGTTAAATTACAAAACAATGAACAATCAAATGATAACGGAAACTATAAATGATAACGGAATTTTCATTGCGTAAATGATTATTTGCATAATTTAAGTTTTGTAACGCTTGAATTAGGTAATAGAAATGTTTCTAAATACACAGTTAAAAATACTTTAATTATTTAGTATTTTATTTGCTTACCGTGTCCAAAAGTTCGATTATTTTTGCGAAAAAATACCACCACGCGCCTCGTGACAGCTGTTAAAAAAAATATAATTAGTACGATATTATTTGGTACTGTTTAAATAAATAAATAATTAGTTAAATAAATAATTTGAACGTCTGGTGTTTAATTATAACAAGGATAAAAAAAAATAAACTTATACACTTCATGTTGCAAAGTCAGAGCGCGCGAAATCTTCGAGCGTCTTATCGGCGGATTCGAATCTTCTGTCGTCTCTCTCGGCTTTTATGCCTTTTACTTCGACTCTGTTTTTTCGTTTCGATCTTATCGGTTGAGTCGTACATCGGTAATCGACAAATATCGTAAAGAACAGAAAATATTTGTCACCTTTACAGTCGCGCAAATGTACAAACTTATTGTGAAAGATTCTACGTTAAATTCAAAGATACGATAAAAATACGATAAGCATTATATAATACGTTCTACATTACATTATATAATATGTTCTCTGCGATAATATGAAATATAATTTTGTTTCTACAATCGGCCATTCTGATTAATCATCGGCCTCCGATGCGCTAGATTTATTATTTTCGATATCAGAATTGTCGCTATAAATCATCGTCGCCTAAAAATTTAGAACAGAATTTTCTACCTTGGAGCGGCTTGCGTTCGCTTAATTGCTACACCGAAAAAATTGTATTCTTGTTTTGAGGATATCCCACTTACTTTAAGTATATTTTACACTAAAATAGGCGCCAAGAAGAGTTTCTTATTTTAAGAGGAAAATCCTCTAAATAGTAATATTGATAAGAATATATACTGATAAGAATATAAAAAGCCTCTATGGAAAAACATATATATCTCACTATCAAAAAAGACTATATTCTTTAATTAAGAATATATTCTTAATTTCAGAAGAATATCATCTGAAATCTTTAAGAAGATTTTTTAAGTATAAAATCTTCTACTTACGAGAATATAATTTTTTCGGTGTATATATATATATATGTATATACACGTACACCGAAAAAATTGTATTCTTGTTTTGAGGATATCCCATTTACTTTGAGTATATTTTATACTAAAATAGGCGCCAAGAAGAGTTTCTTATTTTAAGAGGAAAATCCTCTAAATAGTAATATTGATAAGAATATATACTGATTAGAATATAAAAAGCCTCTATAGAAAAACATATATATATCTCATTATCGAAAAAGACTATATTCTTAAATAAAGAATATATTCTTAATTTCAGAAGAATATTATCTGAAATCTTTAAGAAGATTTTTTAAGTATAAAATCTTCTACTTACGAGAATATAATTTTTTCGGTGTACCCAAAATCTCCTTATTTATTGTATACACTTTAGCTCTTTGCGTTTGCGATCGCTTTTCTTGTAAATCGCATATTATATGTCTTCCTCGCAATCAGCCTTCGAAATTCAAGGTTGTGACGCAAACGCACGGATTATCCCAGTCAATTTATTTCGAACGGAACTAAAAGCCATTACTTCTCGCTGGAGTCGCGTTTAAAAATTGCTGTAATCGGTCGACGTGTCTGAACCACTGTTCGGGATGTGGCGTTATTTACTGAATAGTAGAAAATTATAATTCGGTTTATTATCTCAATCAAAGACCATTGTCTCGCGTTGGTACGCCAACGGTCGTCAATGTTCGATTTTTTTGCTGTCACAATACGTTTTAAAATCGCCTGACGTTTTTCGCAAATTTTTTGCGGATTTCTGACATCACCTGCTTGCGCCTCGTTTAATCGCGCAATCACTTCGGCCGGTGATCGTCGGATCGCGTCGGATACAACCGTACAAATTTGCTGAAACTCTACACCAAAAAAATTGTATTCTTGTTTTGAGAATATCCCACTTGCTTTAAGTATATTTTATACTAAAATAGACGCCAAGAAGAGTTTCTTATTTTAAGAGGAAAATCCTCTAAATAGTAATATTGATAAGAATATATACTGATTAGAATATAAAAAGCCTCTATAGAAAAACATATATATCGAAAAAGACTATATTCTTAAATTAAGAATATATTCTTAAAAATAAAAAATATATTCTTAATTGCAGAAGAATATCATCTAAAATCTTGAAGAAGATTTTTTAAGTATAAAATCTTCTACTTACGAGAATATAATTTTTTCGGTGCGGGTGAAACGGTTTTGATCGTCGGCGTTTCTTTGAAGTAATATCTCTCCGCGAGCCCTAATTTAGACGCGTCAGTGCAGGAGCTCGGTATCAGCCTCGTGTCGATACAACTTTAACACAGGATTCGACGACCAAGTATCCACTTCAACTATCGTTAAATGCGCATTTCTGTTCTTCGTTAAAACGAAAGATAGCATCCTTCTTCGATAAATTCGTCAATGGTCGTGCTACAAGCAAATATTTCGGTATGAACTTTCTAAAGTAACTTGCGAGAGACCAACAAAACTCTGCACGTCCATGATACGGGCGGGTTTTGGAAAAGTTCGCGACCGCGCGGCGGTTTTTCTCTCCTACGGCCTAACTGTGCTGTTCTTTTCTTATTATATGGCCCGGATATTCAATTTTTGTTTCCAAAAAACCGGCATTTCTTCCAGTTTACATTCAGGCCATATTCGCTCGCTGTCAATAGTACTTCGCGCAAATGATCGATTGAGCCTGGCCCGAGTCGAAATTTAGCGTCTACATTGAACCTCAATTCCTCTTTTTTTTTTATGTAGGAGTAAGAGAGAAAGTAGATCCTACTTTGACGCTGCTATACGTCCGAAATTTCCTTTTTTTCTGCTAAAGTTTTAAAGTAGGGTTCAATTCTTAGATCAGACTGCGCATTGCAGGCTCTGATAGGCTCAAAGTAGAAGTAAGAAAAGAAGTAGATGCTACTTTGACGCTGCTGTACGTCCGAAATTTCCTTTTTTCAAAAATTGTGGTTCAATATAGACGCTAAATTTCGACTCGGGTCTTCTTGGCGCCTAGTTTAGTATAAAATATACTTAAAGTAAGTGGGATATCTCTCCTCAAAACAAGAATACAATTTTTTCGGTGTACCTTTCTTTAATTCCTCGCGGGCAATACCGGTCTACAATTTCTCTGACGCTAGATTTATCAGACCGTTTGCTGCGCATGTTGTATTTATCGCGCGATAATTATCATCCTGAGATTTCGGTTTCTCTGTGGTCTCAATATTAAATATCTCAGGAATCTCAGGAATCTCTCTCCCGAGTCCCGCACGCGGTTTTTCACTAGAGATCCTTTCTTTTCGGATATTTCATTCTATCTTGTTCCAGGAAATCTGTTCCAACGACAGCAGCGCGTGTTGTATCACGTTTTACTCGTCACCACGAATATTGAGACGATATTCAATATCAATTTCGATCTCCACGTCGATTTTACCCAACGTTTTGTAAAACCTTCCAAGCCTAGACCGCGAGAGAAACACAAATTTCCTGCTGATTTCATTTCCACGAAATTCCACAACCGTCGATGTTCATCCTCGCGCAGCGATGAATCGCTACTCGCGTTAATTAACCTTTTCGCTCCGGAGATTTTTCCTTTAAAATTGACCTCGCATTTTAGCTGAAAAAGTTAATAATAACCTGCTACCCCCCCCCTTCAAAGTTAATTTTGAAGGTCAAAGAAGTAACCAGGATTTTTTTCAATTTGTTTCCTATATTTAGTGCATTAAATTGACCTTATAAACATCTATTACGTTCGCTTTTCTTGCTGGTCCATATATGGACCAGTCCCGGAGCGAAAAGGGGTTAAGGCTATCATCTTTTTTTTTTTTATTTATCCGCCTTGAATTTTTATATCTTTACAATATTCACTGCTGCGACTCGACCTCGAGATGTCGCTTACTTTCCTTACCGCGTTTTTGTTTTTTTTCAAGGCACTTCGCCCCAATAATGTCCGAACTCTCTCCGCAACTGAAACATTTCGCGCCTCTCGACTTCGAAGAACGTTCTATTGTTGGGTGTCCCTGTACGCCACAATTATGGCAACGCATAATTGCGTTTATCCGCGTTTATTGCTTTCGCTGCCCTCTCGCATCCTGATCACGTTGCTGAGCAGATTTCTCGCGGGCGCACGAGGTCACCCTCTCGAACAGCCTCCAACAGCGACAACCTTCTGAGATCGAATTCTGAGGTTGGATTCGCGCCTGGTCTCTTAAGGTAGGTAGCTCAAAGTAAACGCTCAATCATATATTTGATCATGTCTGCTTCTCCAATTTTGCTCCCCCGGTTTCCCAATATCACTTTCTGATTGTAGATATTCACACAGAATGTTTCATCTCTCCGCCACATGCGTTGCATCAACAAACTGTCTTCTCGCCTGAATCCCGCTGGGTTCGCTCAGAAGTTCATCCGCTGGCAAATTCGAATAATTGGGATCCGAATGGGATCCCACTCCTGTGCTCTTCCCTTGAGGCGCGCGCCCATCATCAAGTCTGGTTGAATCATCGGTCAGCTCATGGGCACTTCTGAGCGATTTAACTCGTTTCTCCCAGGCTTCGTAAGGATTGCTGCTGCCGATCGAAATGACTCAAAGATTCAGCAACGATGTCCGGACTCGGCCGTCCAATAGATGCGTGCGACATGATGACGCGGGCTCACCGCTCCAAAATCACGCGTCCATTTGCTCTCGCATTCTGCGTCACTCTCATTAGATCTACTTCTCGACGAGAGAGCTAATTGTAACTCTCGCTCTAACGAATCCTTTTCTCGTCGCCTCCATTTCTCGCCGAGGAAGAGTTGATTCGTCATCCGCCTTCCGAAAATTCACGCTCGCACCGCTCTCATCTTGTCGCTCGTTTCTAGGGATGAGCATATGATATCGATACATCGACAATATGGATATAATTCTTTTGATATTTGATATTTTAGTATCGATATTCTGTTATTGATAATATCAAAAAGATATCGA